TGTTCTCCTCCGTTAATCGCCGTATCTCCATCTTAGCAACTCTGAGCTCTTCTCTCAGCTGCTGGTAAAGTTGCTCAAGAGAGGGCATCCTGGTACAGATTCACAGAGAGCACACAAACAGGTCTTCACAGAGCTAAGTACACGTCACCACTGAGCTAAGTACACGTCACCACTCATCACAATTGGTGGGTGTGCATGCAGCCCAGCAGGATACAACGATGGTCACGTTTTTTGGAACCATCGAAGTTCTTTACGTGTTCCTCTCTCGTTCAACACAGCGCTGGAAAAAAAAATTCAAAACGCTGTGCCTGTGGTTGTTAAATCAGAGTTTGAAACCAGGTGTAGCGCAAGGACAGAAGCAGTAAAGCCCGTCAACAAGTACCTTGAGGAGATACTTCAAGTTCTCCAGGGCATGATAAACAATGAAAATGAGACCAGTGAAATAAGTAACGCAAGGCAGCTGTGTAACTGCATGTTGAGGTAAGAGTTTCTGACTTTGCAAGAATTTTGGAACAAAATACTTATTAGCACATCGTATTCAAAAGAGGCTGCGGGATTCTATCTTGAACTTCCACGATGCTGCCCTTGATTTGAAAGTCCTCTAAGATCATTTTGAAGATGAAAAAGAAGTGTTGGTTAGCTAGTCACTCGAAGAACAATTCGGTCTCTGTCAAAAATGGAATCCTGAGGTTGAAAGTTGTCAGAGACGAAAGAAAACGAATGACTGATGAAAACTCGAAAGACGTTGGGTTAACAACCAAGGAGAAAATGGAAAGAGTCATGAAGGGAGCACTCGACCGTCTTCACAGAGAAATGGATGAAAGGTTCGCTCGTTTGTACGACACTGACGCCAAGTTTGGGTTCCTTCTCGATGTCGAGGGACTGTTTTACGGCGCTGACAGTAGCGACCTAAGAAAGGAGTGCGAAAATTTGGGAGAATTGTACAGCTCTGATGTATGGACAGCAGTTATATGAAGAAATTTTGGATTGCAGAGTATTGCTGTCAAGTCGGGCCAACATGAAAATATCAAAACCTGAAAAGTTTCTCTATTTTATTGTTCAGTATTGAGATGAGAGTCTCTTCCCCAATCTTTGCATTGTTATTCAGATAATGATAACCATCGCAAGCTGTGAGAAAGAGAAGAAACTGAAAAGAAAAAAAATTGAGCACATCATAGATTAATTTGCATCAGTGAAAGCAAGGAAGGTGCAGTTGTAAGTTCCCTGTAGTTCCATAATTAAAATATTAACGAGCTTGACTTGTATTTTGGTAAAGTTATCTAAATGACAGGTGTCAGATGTTTGGACAGTGCTTGCCATAGGCGCTAATTTCCGTAGATACGTCCCTGGTTAAGTTGTGTGACATTATAGTAATTTATTAGAGGCCATATATGCACTTGTACAAACATACTCATGAATAACCAAAGTGTAATGAACACTTATCAATGCTCAGTAATAACCCACATGGGGACAGAATCACAAAAGATTAATCTGCTGAAGAGGATTGTAGAATAGCATCGAAATATTCAAACATACACATATATACACTCCTGTCAGGAGCAGACCTAATATAGCTTCTTTATCAGTGTCATCACGGCAGCTGATTCCTATGTGGGGAAGTATCCAGACAAATAAAATTAAAAGTAGCCTTTGTTCTGAGCACTATTTGTTATTTTTAATGTCCATTACGATGTTCCTGGTGTCTATTTTGAAGTAAGAGCTTGGAGTCACAGATTACCTTTCCTGTGTTTTGTAATGTGTCGGTTGTGATCTTCAGTGCAGCCAGGCTCGAGTAATGCTGAGTTAAGGCAGTTTCACGCTGATGCTGCTAGTCTATACAGACTACTTTTGTCTATTTTGCAAACTGTTCCAGAGCGACCTGTACTCTGCTGAACTGAGACGGAAGTGTAAGCATAGTGCTCACTGGGCAGCAAGGTATCTACATGCAAGGCAAGAGTTTCTTGCTTTGCTGTATTACAAGGAGAGGACTCTCATTATTACTCTTAGTGAGGGGCATCTGTGATATATACCCTGGAAAATGAGTAGAGAGGGATGTCGTTGACATGTGTATTGTATTTAATAGGGTGCTTCAATTTACCGTGATTAGTCACATTTGCTTTCAGCCAGTTGGTGTATAGACCATGAACCGGCACTACGTGGCATGTGGCAGGCATGAGACAGCACATCCACGAGCCCTGCTGGACACTCCCGAAGTTTGATGATCTTAACAGGTTGATAATTTTAGTGCACACTGGATAATTTTAGTGCACACTGGAGCACTAAGAATTACCCTCAAGGCCTTGTTATACAATACTAAAGTTTATTAAAAACAATGGGTAGAAAGTTAATCAGTTGTAGGATATAGTGATCACTGAGAGTTATGAACCTTAAGTATTAAGTCGTCCTTCACGTCTTGAGTGTAAGTTTGTTACAACAGCGGTGTTAATTATAAATCCTAAGTATCTGTATTGTTCATGAAACTCAGTGCTAGTGTTTTTTATTTGAAAGGATAGTGGGTAATTAATGCACTTATTTGTACATAAGATTTATGTCTTGTCCCTGGATATGTCGAGACGAAAGTTTATGTCTAGTTATGAAGGCGTCGAGGATATTGTAATCTCTTGGATGAGTTGGTAAAGATGTTTGACACAGGATTACTCATTAGTTCTTAAAGAGAACAGGGCTCAGTACTCCACCTTGAGGAGTGCCCAGCTAAAGTGAGGGAATGGTGATACTCTTGGCACTTTATGGCACTTTATATATGACTGAGCCTATTTTGTTGCTCAGGTGTCCTTGGGCTCAAGTTAATAGTTTTCCTCTGACACCGAAGTAGGCCAACTGTTCCGAGATATGTTCTTTCATGGCTGTACCAATGGCAGCTTTCCGGTCAATAAAAACTGCCTTTGTGCTAGGTCTCTAAAGTCTGGTAAAGAACTTGGCAAAGCAAGTCTGGGTGTTTCTCCCTGGCAGAGACCCATAAAGACCGGGAGAGAGTTGATGCTGTGTTTGAACATTGATTCCGTTAAGGACAATTTTCTCAAGAACTTTATACAAATAGAGTGTTAATGAGTTGGTTCTAAATTTGTGAGGTTTGCTTTTGGAATGGGTAATATGAGTGTGTCTGCCGCGATAAGGTAGAACACCAAGAGCAGGACTGTTGGGCAAGTCGTTGAGAGTCTAAGGGTGTCATAACGTATGTATCCTTTCCCAGGTGAAGTGATTTTTGCCTTTTTTAAATACAGTAGGTACTACCTACGCTTATCTTCTCATGACCAGTAATGATTCTGAGCTTCCTGCTGATAATGTTTGTGTTAACCAAGAGAAGAACGTTCTGAGGCAAGTTTTTACATACTCTAAATATTGGTCCAGTAGCATGTTTGCTCATGTTGTGGGTGAGTGACGCTCAAGAAGAGGTATTCTGTTTTGAAATATTTTTTATTATAGGTCACACTTGGGCAGTACAAGTTGCGTGGTTGATGTCTTACAAAAAAGTGTTCTTAGAATTTGTCGAATATTTATTCTTTAAATTACCTGAACTCTACGGTTTACTTGAAATTGATGGAGTCAGTTTTTTGCTGTTTCTGTATATCTCTGCCAGTTCAAATATGTTCTCATATTTAGTTGGAAGCCTAGAGCCAATGATCCGCAGTCTCTGATCCATTTTAATTGAAGTGGAACCAGCTTATTTTATTCATTTTTTATGATAGTTCGTCCTTTCATTAACAAGGCAGTAACTGTGTATACTTCACACCAGATATTAGGTTCCAAGTGTATATGCAGATTTTCAAGGATGTTGATAACACTTCTAACAAAGGTAAGTGGCTTGACATCATTTATTGTGTATGTGCTTAGGTCAAAGTAGTTGCTGACTAATTCATAAGCAAAAACCCCACAAATAGCAGTGTCAGTGAATCCAAGTGCTATGACACAGTCAAGTCTATCTTCCTTAATGTTGGTGTCTGGTTGTAGATCCTCAAGTTAGTTTCTTGAGAGTAGGGAAGTCACCCGTCCATTTGTGCTGGTTTCTTGTCTCCAGAATTCGCATGCCGGGCATTAGAGTCTTCCCTCCCCTCCATTATGATAACTTTTGAGCCGTTTATGACTCCTGGCAGGGGCGTCCTTTTTTAAATTGTGTAACATCTTGTTCGTAATCTATATACGTAAGTTGAAAGTTTTAGATGTTACGAACGTAATAGTAGATGTCATCACTTGATTACTCTTTGAGGTGTTTGTAGGCCAACCTGCTTTTGACATGGGTCAAAGTAAACACACACACACACACACACACACACACACACACACACACACACACACACACACAAATGAGTCAGAGAGATAGTAGGAAGTATTTCTTCAGTCATAGAGTTGTAAGGCAGTGGAATAGCCTAGAAAATGACGTAGTGGAGGCAGGAACCATACACAGTTTTAAGACGAGGTTTGATAAAGCTCATGGAGCGGGGAGAGAGAGGGCCTAGTAGCAACCGGTGAAGAGGCGGGGCCAGGAGCTAGGACTCGACCCCTGCAACCACAAATAGGTGAGTACAAATAGGTGAGTACAAACGAACACTAAGCTAATGGGCATGTCTTTTGAGGAGAGGTTAAGGAAACTCACCCTGATGACACGAGAGGATAGGGGGGACCTGACAACGACGTATAAAATACTGAGAGGAACTGACAAGATGGACAGGGCAAGAATGTTTCAGAGGTGGGACACAGCAATAAGGGGACACAACTAGAAGTTGAGAACTCAGATGAGTCATAAGAATGTTAGAAAGTATTTGTTTGATCTTAACGATGTTAGGAAGTTAAATAATCCGGAGAAGGAAGTAATGGAGGCAGTATCCATACATAACTTTAAGAAGAGGTACGATAAGGCTCTTGGAGCGGGCAGAGAGTGACCTAATAGAGACTAGCGAAGAGACTGAGCCAGGAACTGTGAATCGACCCCCTCCAACCACATATTGGCGAGTACATACAGGTAAGTACACAAACACACTCAC